TTATATATTATTTCATTAAGTTTTTATGGCTGTTCTGATAAAATATTTTCTCTATAAAAGTCGATAAGAGCAATTTTTATCATGAACACATTTTTTAAACATTTAAAATTGTCTTTAGAAACTGACCTTTGACCCTGATCCTGTCTTCCAGGTTCTGAGGGTTTCAGTGTTTTGATGTTTCTGCTGTTGGGTTAGACCTACACTGATCACTGGCTACTGTTGAGGAAAAATGAATATTTTTAGTGTTTAATTCAGTTAATCTTACAACATGTGAAAAAGGTTTATTGAGATGGTTGTTTTGAACAAAATTATTAATTTAGAATAGGATCATGTTAATGATTTAATCTAAAACTATTGATGGGAAAGTTTTCAACTTAGAGGAAGGAAGGACGGAGATCTGAAGGGAGCTTTAGTGTTTGGTTATCAGAGGTCAGGAGGTCATAAGGCAGCTTCACTTGGATGAGCAGGAGAAAAGTTTGCTCTGTTCACAGAAGGTCAGAAAAGTTTTCCAAACCAGCATCTGGGATGGTGTGAAGACTGAACATAGAATATCTAAAACCACTATCATCTAATTTGTAAGACATTTTTCTTAGTTATTAACTGCATGGTCTGATTGAAAATAGTCTAATAGTTTTAGAATTAATAATTTTTGTTATTAATTCATTCTGAAATTGTAATATCTGTTCTTATTTCAGAATCAAATAGAAAATGTGTGAAACAAAATGTTTGTTTCAGTATTTGAAAATTGCTCAGGTTTATGGTGAAAGGTTTTGGAAAATCATTGTGTTCATTCTTACACTCAGGATTGATTCTTTCATCCGATCGGATAGAAAAAGGAGTTTCACCTCATTCTGATCTGATGATTTTTGTTACTTTTGGTTGACAGCAAGAGTCAATCTTTTGAAGTGCTGAATGCAGGAGAACAAAATGAGGTTTGTGGAGATAAACCTTTGCTTCAACTTTCCACAGGGTTTTAAGTTTCTTCCTGAGGAACCTGTAGGGAGAAGACAGGAGAGATTCCCACCTGTCTGTGAAACACCTTCCTCTGTTTTTCTCAGACAGCCACAAAGCAGCAGGAGTTCAGGAGAAGCTCTGCTCTCACTTTGTTCAGACAAAGGGGACAAATGGCCTTAGATCTTGGTAGCAAATTGTAGGGAGTTTCTACCTTTTAAGAGGCTCCATGATACCTTCCAGTTGGTCAAGCAGAGGAACGCCTTATTTGAATGTATTAAAGAGGAAAAACACACCTACATTATAAAAGTTTGTACACAGGAGCAACAAATCAGATTGCTGTTTTATTTTACTTTTGCATCAGCGCTCTCCAAAGACATTTTTTCTTTATCGTATTCGTCTCAGGTAAATGAAGGTCTGTCTTCGTGTGTATGAAGTGTTTGTGTTGTTGATGTGATTTTATACTTTGAAATGTTGGAATAAACTCTGAAAATGTAAGACATGGAGCTCTGATTGTTAACTCTGTGGCTTTTGTTTCCACGTATAGAATAATTGAATCTGGAAGCACAAGAGAATATAACGAGCAAGTCCAGTTTGACCTCTGACCTCTCTACTCTGTTTCCTCTCCTTCAGATCAGAACAACACGACAATCAAAGCTGAACCTGGACAGAACGTCATTCTGACATGTAAAGATCCTGATCAGGGGAAAATCACAATCGCAGAGTGGAAGAGAACTGATCTGGGGACAGAATATGTCCTCCTGTACAAAGATAATCAACTTGATCCAGGAGCCCAGCATCCATCTTACAGGGACCGAGTTGATCTGCTGTGTAATCAGTTGAGGAGAGGAGACGTGTCTCTGATTCTGAAGAACACAACGACTAATGACAGCGGGACGTATGAATGTCGAATTGATACAGAAAAACATGTGGGGGAACTGATCAGCACCATCAGCCTCCAGGTTTCTCCTCCTCCTCCTCCTCCTCCTCCAGGTGAGAGTTTGTCTCTGGATCAGAACCAGCAGCTTCCTGGTTCTGATCCAGATCAGATGATGATGATCTTCAGTCATCTCCTACCTGATCAAACTAGAGGTTAAAGGTCACATATTTGATTAATCCTAACCTTTCAACTTTGATTCATGCCAGTTGAATTTGTTCCATCAAGCTGTTAGATGAAAATCAGGTTTATTTGTATCTTGTGAACAACAGATTATAAAAGATGGTTAATGATGAAGCAGCTCTGAAAGAAAAGCTCCACTTATTCCACAACAAATTACTACAACTAAAGATGTCTGTCAGAAAATAATCTGATAAGAAAAGTAAATCCACTAATAAAGAAGCCTGACAACATCCTGAAGCCTCAGACATGAGTGAAGCTAAAGACACAATGGAGACGATGAGATAATGCAACTGAGAAAGGATCATGCAGATGCTAATAATAAAGATACTTTAAGGGTTGAGTCGTCACTGACAGACGTTCTTGAGCGAACGACAAAACAAGAGCAGGAAATAACCAACACCAACCAGAGCGAGCGACACGGAGGACCAGCTGCTCCATGAGCTACGACTGATGCTACAGAGAGAAGCTAATCGCTCTGCTAAATGTGAGGAACTGGAATCGGAGCGAGACGCAACAATCTACACATTTATGGAAGAGGGAGAAGAAAAGAACAACATGATGCCACCTCACTCAGACTACTGCAGGATATGGATCTGTGTAGACTAGCGGTTCTCAACATGGGCGTTCAGAGGACGGCAGGGGGCGCTGGTGGAAATTTTTACAAAAGGGGGGCGCTGGAATTCCTTTGGGGGCGTTTGGTTGAAGGTAAACTTTACACCTTAAATGCACAACAATACCAGTTTAGACTTTGAGCAACTTCCTAAAACTGTGTTGTGTAACATTAGATCATGCTTGGCTGCAGCTGTACCGATGGCAGCTCTTCTTCTTCTT